TCGGCTCGTGAATTGGGTTAACAATTGGCTGCAACCGGACTAGATCGGCTGGACCTGGACCTGGACCCGCTGACCGGAAGCGTCATGGACATGAGGAGCTGCACAGCCGAGGTGCAGGAGGAGTCAAGCAGTCAAGCAGTCGAGGAGCAATCGGCATTGGCATTTGGCCAACTGGTTCACTTCGCATCCAATCGCTGCTCACGCATTGCGGTGTGCCTAGGAAGCGTGAGCCATTTATGGCCAGCAATTGCATCACATACTTATACTGGATTACCAAAGTAAATGGTCCGCAATCGAAAATGAAAACCAAACGCCAGGCGATGTGAAAAGTGGAAAGCGCGTGCAAGAGCGGGCAGATGGATGGCTGCAAACTGGTTCCTGCATGGACTCCCAGCCAATGTGTCTTAATTGCCATTAACTGTGCCAACAGCGGGTAAATAACAAATTATGGGTTGCCGCAAAGCGCACAATTAAATATTCAAAGGACTCTGCTGTTGCTCATGCATATGCATGGCAACGCTGCGTATGCGTGATATGAGATAATCCACCAGGAAAACTGGCCAACTGATGGCGAATGCGGTCATTCATGGTGCGAACTGCAGTCAGATAATTTGCACAATCTAAACAAGAAAGTGCCGCGAAATCCTAGTTGCAAATAAAACATTCGCTGGGTAACAGTGCGTATGAGTGATATTATATTGAAATACATTTGTGAACATGCCAGTTGGGGCGTCTAATCGAAATTGAAGGGCGAGCAGTCCCAGGACTTTTTATCCTCGTGAAACTGGATGAGCACCAGTTCATAGGTGGCCACCGTACCCGCCATCTGAAAGACATAGACATGGAGAACCGAGCAAGTGAAGACTCAGCCTGGATTATCTCACCGCCAGGAACAGCTTCCTGGTGACATTGAAGAACTTGAGGCCCGTTAGCGCCACCTGATCGCTGGCCAGCTCAGCGGCGAAGCGGAAGACCTCCGGATGATATCCCTTGAGCGGGACAAGGCGCAGCAGATGCAGTGGCTTCCTGGCCTGGTCGTTGATCGCCGAAACGTAGAGGAGCACGGCCGTAGATCGGCTGAGCAGGAACAACAGCGAGAAGTAGAAGTAGACGGCGTGGGCGGATGAGGGCATGGTGCTGGATAACAGGATAGGAATCATTGCCAGCTGGGCTTTCGGCTGTATAACTCACTTGATGCTCTTGAGGAGCTGCAGGCAGATGAAGTACAGATTGCTGCCGAAGGATATCAGCATTATACCGGACACGGCGTCATCCACCTCCCGTATGAGCTCCACTATGGAGCGGTAAAGAGTCCGTGACCACGTCCAATAGGCTTCCGGCATGGGCTATGGATGTTGCAAGCTCGATAATGATATATGCATACACACTGCCAGGCGATCAGTTAGCCCACCTGTCGGACCTGCTGCTCCAGGCTGCGATTCAGCCTGGCCATCATCTCGCTGAGACCTATGCCCAGCATCATGAGGAATATGTCCATGTAGCTCCAGCCGAAGGTGAGCAGCACATTCTGGATCTTGCCCAGCCAAGCCAGCCAGTTGGAGTAGGGAAACACTTCGAACAACTGGGCACTGGTGCCATGCAAATAGGATTCCACGGGGTTCCTTCTTCGGGGGCAGAAGTCGTAGTACACCACCGAAATGATGCTCAACAGGTGCTCCACTGGAAGAAGCATACGGTTATAACCAGCGACCCAAACGTATTGGCAACACAACTCAGTGAAACGGTCAGCAGCACGAAGGCCACCAACTTGAGGCGACGGGCAGGACGAGCCCGTTGCAGGCAGCAGTTGTAACCGGGTAGCCGCTGTTCCACCGCCGCCCAATGGCGCATCAATCCCGGCCAGAGTTTGGCCAGGTTCAGGAACTGCCACGAGGCGAACAGGATGCTCACGTGAAAAACTATGGGCTCTAAATGGTAATGTAAGTATGCGGTTACTACGTTGCGTATGCGCAGCATTTCATCTTACCCACACTGCGCACATCCAGCACACTGTGGGCCACCTTGTGGATGCTGAAGGCCAGGTCCACCGTGGTGGAGCAGAGGTACAAGGAGCTGTACCAAAATCGCCAGCTACGCCGGCTGAAGCTCAATCCTCTGTAGGTGGGCGCACTGATGCCACTCACGGGCATCAAGCAGAAGCACTGGGCCACCGCCAGAACCGGAGCAACTGCCTCATGGAAGGAGCCATCATGCAGGAAGTTCTTTCGCGTTCCCCGCACCTGGCTTTCTGGATTGTAAAACGTAAATGGGATGGGTTTACTCAGGGGATTCTATAGAGTTAGAACCTCACCTCGAAACTGATCCAAGCCGCCTTTAAGATTTTTCAACCAGATCTTGCCCTGCATTTTCAGATGCCGCACAGCTCGATTACATCGATTTCGTTCTTTTAGCCGTCGCATGTTCGAGCTCTAGATCCTGACTAAACGGCTAATTCAAAAATTCAGCAGGATATGGTAGAAGTCCACCTGTTGTCAACTAATAGCCAGTGATGAGGAATATAACAGGTCTGTTTTTAAAAATTCTTAAATATATACTTTTTATCATATTTTACTTTAGCGTTCAGAAGAGGGTTTCAAATGTATTGCATTCATTTAAAAAGTTTTATAAACACAATCGTACCTTTGCCATCGCCATCACTTGTAACGAGTATTTAATTAGCGCGACCTTGACGAAAAGCCGGCTTAAACGGCGCCACAACATGCAAATTGGCAACACACTCCATCAGGTATGAACTTGGCACTACTAGTGAAAAATTATTATTGATTGGTTAGTCAAAAGAAAATATGTGCAGCTGTCACATGGCGAAAATTGATTGCGCATAGATCCTAATGGCCTGCAAAAAACCATCAAGCTTCGAAATGGACAGCCACTAAGCGTTAATGAATGCAAATAACAGCAAGTGATTTCGGTCCACAAGTGAAAAGAAGTCAGGAGAGAACGAGACACGGAAATTAAATTTCTTAAGCTAAAAAGCGTAATGAATTTTCGCTGATTGGCGAGCTACGTTTCTATTTACAATTATCCTTTAGGCCCGGCTTAGAATTTCAAAAACCGATAGGCGCCTGCGCAGCGCGACAATCGATAGAACGCCCACGGCGATAGCCCGCCCCTGCAATCGGTCGGGAGAGAGAGAACAGTACGGTTACTGTAAATTTCTATGCCAGCAAACGGGGCTCGCTCAAGCCGCTCACTATAGTCTCTCATTCCAGCTCGATCGGTCAAGTCGTTTGCTGAGCGGCGCTGCGCGTTTGTTGTTCTTGTTGCCGCTGCTGTTAATTGCCAAAGAAAATACGACACTGCGCCGTGCGATCGCAGATCTCTCAGTTAGTTTGATTGGTTTAAGTTGGCCAAGCAGCCAAGTCCGTTTCGATAAGTCAGAAGTCAATGTGAGAAGGCCAGAAAGAATATCGGCTGGCTATTACAGTATTTACATATTTTGTTGCGTTGTTTTTTGTTGCTGTGCTGCGCGGAGCGATTTAATGTCAACACCAAAATGCAATTCGAAAGCATTTAAGAAACGCCAAACGAAGTATAAATTTATAATAAGCGGAAAACACTGAAACGAGTTCGTGTTCGGGTGAGTTGCTATTGCCTTTTGTTTTTGTTTTTTTGTGTTTCTCTTTCAAGACCAGAATCCAAATCCGGCCAAAAACGGCCTTACCTTTGTTAACAATTTGAGTTGCGCGTTTTATTGTTGTTGCATTTGGTCCACACGCACACAGAGAAGCGCAAACTGCATGCGCATGTGTATTTGTAATGGAACGATTATGGAACGGCTGTTTTCACAATTCAATATATCGTCGTCTTGCTCGCTCACATCCCAAATCCCGAATTCCACCCTCTCACAGAAAAAGAAAAACAACAAAAAAATCAGCAAAGAGGGGAGAAAGAAGTGGATGGGGTAAGAGGATGCGTAAAAATGCAACCGATACACCGAGAGAAAATCAGCTAATCAAGGATAATGCATGAAAATTGTAATCTCAAATTCATTGGCTTATGCTGTTGATTCACTCCCAAATTGCTTAATGTATCATTTCAATTTGGAAAAGATACGTAATGTGACAATTCATTGTTTGGCCGAAATTTTGAAACAAATGAGTCATTTGTTTCTTTCCATAATAGGATCATGTCCTGGAAAAATACATTTGCAATTGAAATGAAAGCCAGGCTTATAAACCCAAACAGACTTCCAAAGCCTCCGCTTCCGATTTGCTTTCTCTTTCGCTCTTCCCTTGCCCAAACATCAGCTGCATGAATCATCATCTGCCCCTCCCCTCCTCCCTGTACCAATGCAACAGTTGGTAGCCACTCATTCAGCTCGAGTCTCTTAAAAACGACAAAAAGTGTAGAAAAACCCAGCTCCAAAACGATGCACTACACATGTGCACTATCTACATTGTAATTAGCTTTCGATTAGTCAGCGAAATGCAACAGAAGCGGAACATATTTCCTGAACACTGCCACGATCAGAAAAGAAAGAAAATTAAAAGAAAGAGATTGTTGGGTAGTTCTACAAATGGGACCTTTAAGAAACTCGGACAAATCTCCTAGAACACCGTGCAATGCAATGCGATGCAATATCAATACTATAAGTATTTTCCAAAAACCATACTAAACCCAATGCAATTATAGTCGAAATAACTAGGACTATCAATTTTCAACCATCATTATGTTGAAGAAGATGCCATGGGATTACGCTGCTTTAATTGATATCATGAATAACACAATCGGGGCATTCACAGCCAACCTTTGGAACTGGGTTAGATAAAAATTCAGAAATTTATTAGGAAGACTTTAAGATAATAAAATAAATAAATGCCTTATTTGCATACGACTTCCCGCCCGCTACATAAATACGTGATTGTAAATATGTGTTTATTGATTATTTTTAAAGCTTCGTTCCACCGCTTGTCTTGGCTTTTCTCTTTTATTGTGCGGCGCACAGAGAATTTGGAGCGGTGGGAACCCAAGGCTGATAAGACTTTGATGTAAATATATGTATATGTACATAGCGCATATCATATGCCTTATGTGCTTAGCTGTGTGTACATTATGTGCACATACTTGTGAGGGGCGCGATCTGCGTATTCCGAAGTGGGGTAGTGTTATCTCTGATATCTTTGTGCCATCATCATTGCCAACTGTTGAGGGGCAGCTTGGTGCACACTCGCGGGCAGCTCTTTAGTTCCCACTATAAATACATTTAGAGAGCTGCATGTTTATTAGTTATGATATTCATCATATGGCTGGATAGTTGGAACTCTTGAAACGCCCTCTGCTGTTTGGACACGCATTTATGGGAAGGGAATTAAACGAAACGACATGGGATGGTGCTCATTTTGGACGGAATGCTCTGGGATGCATATTCAGATTTCCACATCCAGTTGCGGCCCGATGCTCCCCCTTTTCGGAAACAAAAACGAGAAAATAAGATGGTACTGAACAGAACTGAACTGAACTGAGGAGACCGAAAGAACCGAAACAACACACATAGTTGGAAGTTGGAAAACAAACACACATGTTGATCATGCATGAAAGCGAACCGCTGCTCCCCCGCCCCACAAAATATCACCCCATCCCATGAAACCCCGTATTTGGATAGTTGGATAAATGGATGGATGGATGAGGTTCCCAATCCCGTTCCCAGAAGCATATAACCACCACGCACCGGAAACAACGTTAAATGCGTAACAAGGCGCTTTTTAATTTAACCGATCCAAATAAAAGAATTAAATAAATGGAATTGTGTGCACATGCAAAGCAGTTGGGACAGCAGCGTTATCAGCAGGGTGAAAAACGCACGAAAACGCATGACAAACCCCGGCTTAATTGAAATTGTCATTGATTCAATACGCAACATACGCAGCATATCACTGATGGTGGTTGGGTTCTTTTCACTGGAAAAAGCGAAACTGAATCCATTTGATTGCATTTGTGTCGCAAGAAGGAACACCACATTGCTTCCATCGCTTTTTCGCTTATCAACGGGAGAAGAAAGGAAAATGTACGTTTAATTGGTCGTAAAAAGTGCATTACTGGTAGAGTCGCTGATAGCTTCTAGCCGGCTGTTCGCAATGATAACAGTGTAACAAATTCCAGAGGAGCCCCCTTCAAAGGCGAGATTCCAAAAAAAGAAGGAGCGTTTCGAAAGTCTGAAGCATAACTAGAAGATAAGGGTCTACTTGACAGCATAGCGAAACTATTGTGTATATTTCCAAATTTCAATTGGAAACGAAACGGGGCCAGTCAATCGCTTAAGTTATCGGAATAATCGCTTGAATTGCGTGAAGCTATCGCCGCAAAGTGAATTGGTTTCGCCCCAAAAGTCAGGTTTGTGTATATTCACTTCTATATATTCCATATTTCCCCCGGCTTATTCATGGGAATAAGAAATGTTTTGAGCTGAACTCGATACCTCAATAATAACACGACTTTGCGTCGTATTTTCTGCCAATTAAAAGATAATACGTGACTAGACCAATGAAATCCAAAGCCAATACATATAGTTGTTGAAAAGAAAGCGACGCAAACTGGTCAGGTAATGCGTCATCGAGTCATCTTGGCTGATTAGCACAAAAGCCTGTTCTCATCTTTATGCAAATGGCTTTTTCTGCTTGAAAGTGGTTGAAGTTGTTGAACAGGAACTTTAGATGCCACCAACAGTTTCCACAGCAATTAAACCGAATGTTTAATTGCACATAACAGGCGTGCTTCATGTTCCTGTCTGCGTGTGACATTGATCTCCTTCTGAATCCTGATTCGATAATATGTAATCTTGGAGCCATCAATCATGCAGTCAGCTATATAGCACCATATTATTTCAAGCCGTTTGCCTTGCTCGGAGTGACGAGGAAATTGGTGGAAAAACTCGAACATTTGATGAAAAATTCGTACAAATGTGAATTCAAATGGCGTGCAAAACCGGCTCGATCATTACGATTGACCAGTTGGCCGGCAGAAATCTTATAACAAAATCAGTTAACATAAATCAAATGTCTCGGATGCGATAAGCTGGTGGGAGTACGGAGTTCGCCGACTTCCTCGCTAATCCCGTCGATCGGATCGGGTTTTCCACGGTGTCATGCCGAGGAAACTGGACTATTGCATCCGCAAAGCGGCGACATCCATTCATTCACAGATTTTCCCGCGCCTGAAACTCGATTTTGCGGATTACATTTCCTTTATCAAGTTCAGAAATCGAACAGACTAGATAATACAATACTAGATTACAATCCCTAACGTGCATCATGCTACTGGGCAATTATGTATGGTAATTAAATTAATTTCTTCCAATCATTTTATCGTTGTGAAACAACACAACGGAAGTTTGAGTAACATATTAAGTTGTATGCATCCGGCTTTTAACTTTCCTTCCTAAATACTCAAGATACGGGCTAACAAATTTAAATAAACAATAAGTTTAGCGTAAGCAGTTTAAATTAAACAACTAATGCAACCATTAAAGATACAGCTCCTTTTGATAACCTAATCAAATATTAGTAATTGGAATGGCTAATGACATCGTTTTGTTATTTTTCCCGCAGAATGGACCAGGACATGGATATGGGTATGGGCATGGCAACGGGCATGGTGCCGGACGCCGAGATGCTGATGGATGACACGGGGGCCACGCAGTCGATCTACCCGCATTCGGCGACATTATTCGCGGCCATTAGCGCCTGTGTCTTTGTGACGATCGGCGTTCTTGGTAAGTAGTTGGCATCCAGCTCCTCGATTACTAAGTTGTTTTTATCCTTGCTGATCTGTCCCACAGGCAATTTAATTACCCTGCTGGCGCTGCTCAAGAGCCCCACGATACGGGAGCACGCCACAACCGCCTTTGTCATCTCGCTGAGCATATCAGACCTGCTCTTCTGCTCCTTCAGTTTGCCTCTGACCGCAGTGCGATACTTCCAGGAGGTGAGTCATCATACCATCCATATGGGCACAGATATACCTGTGAATGTAATTAGTGTGTTTGATTCTAATTCATATTTCCAATTGCCTTATTTCAATGACAGAGCTGGACTTTTGGGACCACGTTGTGCAAGATCTTTCCGGTGATCTTCTACGGCAATGTGGCCGTTTCACTCCTCAGCATGGTGGGCATCACCCTGAACAGGTAGGCCCAGTCTAGTCCGCATTGTCGCAAGCTAATCCGCAACCGTCACCCTAATCCCCTGGCAGATATACGCTCATCGCTTGCCACAGCCGCTACTCGCAGATATACAAGCCCAAGTTCATAACCCTGCAGCTGTTGTTCGTTTGGGCCGTGTCCTTTCTGCTGCTGGTAAGTGAAACCTCTAAAATGTGAGACCGAAGTTGCTAAAGAACAAGAAACCCTCTCATTCTTAAGCGCCTGTATGTTTTCTGTGTATAAATTCAACTAATCCGTGTCCTTTCCCAGCTGCCGCCCATACTGGGCATCTGGGGCGAGATGGGCCTGGACGAGGCCACCTTCTCCTGCACAATACTCAAGAAGGAGGGGCGATCGATCAAGAAGACACTGTTCGTGATCGGCTTCCTGCTGCCCTGCCTGGTGATCATCGTCTCGTACTCGTGCATCTACATTACGGTGCTGCACCAGAAGAAGAAGATACGCAACCACGATAACTTCCAGATCGCGGCAAGTGCGGGGGCCAAGGGCTCCTCGTCGTCCGCCGGCGGATCCTACATAACCACCACGTGCACGCGAAAGGCGCGCGAGGACAACCGACTGACCGTCATGATGGTCACCATCTTCCTGTGCTTCCTCGTCTGCTTCCTGCCACTCATGCTGGCCAATGTGGTGGACGACGAGCGCAAAACCTCGTACCCCTGGCTGCACATAATCGCCTCCGTGATGGCCTGGGCGTCCAGCGTCATTAACCCGATCATCTATGCGGCCAGCAATCGCAACTACAGGTGAGTTTGCTGGCTGTTTTAGCTTCTAACAGGGATCTCATTGCGAATCTCTTGTATTTCAGAGTGGCCTACTACAAGATCTTTGCGCTGCTCAAGTTCTGGGGCGAACCGATGTCGCCGATGCCGAGTAGAAACTATCACCAAAGCAAGAACTCCAAGGAGCTGTCGGGCGTCATCCGCAGCACGCCTCTCTTTCACGCTGTGCAGAAGAATAGTATTAACCAAATGTGCCAAACATATTCAGTATGATCGAGATAGCAGACGAGTCTTTGTCTTAGAGCTTGTAATGCATATTAATTACCTACTTATTACTTGTTAGTTCATAATTATTTACGATGTACGGCCGTGCTTACATCAAAGACAATCGAATTAAATACATATACGTAGACCAATTGAGAAGGCTGAGGTGTTTTCGAAGTTGTAAATAAGTTACAATAGGTGGTTTACTTCTATAATGTGCAATCTCTGTTTTTGCTCCATAATGGTTTTAAAGTAAATAACGCCATTCATCACTGCATCTGAGATAACATTTGGATCCAACCAACATGATGTTTGGATCAGCGTATAAGGCACTTGTTTTTCAACTAATTTCGATGAACCCACGGCCAAGCCATGTGCCACTCGCGTTTCTCGGTCACAAATCAAACACGCATCGGTATTTTTCACTTTAAAAAAAAGATTTTATTTCGTTTTTCTTCTTCATTGAACCGAAGAACCCTTAACACGCACTATAGACAGAGAGTATCTGGATGCATCCTAGGCCTTGACGGCGAACTTCCTCTGGGGGAAGACGGAGCGCTTGCGGATCTCCTTGAGGGTCTTGCGGTTGGCATCACGCGGAGACAGAGCCTTGCGGATGGCGCGGGTCTTCTTTTTGCGCAGATCCAGGGGCTTGTACTTCTTGTTCTTGAAGACCTTGCGTAGATTCTCCTTCTGCTTTTGGTGCATCACGATGTAGACGCGGGCGATGGCCTTGCGGACAACGCGGCTGTATGGATTAAACGGAAATGCAGAGAAGACAGGGAATTAGTTCGAGACGCTAGTCAGTCACTGTGCCGCGGCGGTGTACTCACATCTTGGAGAGCTTGGAGGGAGCTCCTCCAGTCACCTTAGCCACGCGCAGGCTGAGCAGCTCATTCTTGAGCTCATCCAGCTGCTTGGTGAGTTCCTTCTTGTCCTTCGTCCTCAGCTCGGAGCACTTAACCTTCACCTGGGCGGGAGCACAAACAAACGGGCAGAAAACAGATCATTAGTATCGGTGCACTAGAAATAGCATGGCCATTTGCCATTGGCCAGTCAACTGGCCGACAGGTTCGATCATTAGTGTTGCTACCATCGGTAGGGAAACCAACCATTTTTCTAGCTCTGCTATTTAACACTTAGCACAGAAAAAAAAGACGAATTCTCCGTATTCACTAAACTAGCAAATCAAGAAATTCAGCACGTGGCTTAACGCAACCTCTCCGGAAACGCGGCGAAAAGAAAAGGAAAGAAGAAGAGGTGCTAGGGGTGAGCATAAAATAGTGTGCTAGCGTTGGGCGTCTTGACTGGCCTGCATTATTGACTTGCTGCTGCATTATTAGTTGTATTTTGTATCAACAACATGCACACGAGTGATTTAGGACGCGGTTTATGCATAGCTTCGGCTTTAAATTGTTTCGATGCATCGTAAAATAGGTTAGAAATCTCTTCGCTCGCAAAATACCAACCATTTTTCTCGCTGGTCACGTCAAAAAAGAAAGATGGGACTGGGAGGAAAGAACTAGCTGGTGGTGGCACTATTGTAACTCCGCGCGGCGATCCAGTGGCAACGCTGATATCGAACCGGTTCCGAGGCCGTCGGAATAATAAATCAAATTACTAGGATTGCAAAATTATTCAAAATAAACCAAGTGCGTACCATTTTATTTTGGTAGTGCCAACCATTGCTAAATAAAACATTGTCAGAGAGCCACAGAGAGAACCACACATTACCCACATTGCTCTTATAACTATTTAACTATTTTTCTAATTTTGATTATGATTTTTCTAATTATGAAATGTTTCTTTTCCATGGTAAGTTTTCTCTCATATGCAAAATTTGTATGTTATTTATAAGACAAACTATGCTAAGCGCAGAAAGTATTCCTAAAATATGGTATATAATAAGTGTTAATAGCTGATAGGTGTGCCAGAAAATAGCCAAATTACAGCTAGAGTTCCGCCACTAGTTTGAACTCCCGGTCTGGCAGAGCTGCACTCACAGAGGTCCATCTCTAGCGTGAGAATGTAAACAAAGCAGTCAGGTGGCAACGCTGCAATCACTAAATAATCTGCATAAATAGTAATACAATTGGCAATATTTTTATCGGTTTAAGTAAATAATAGGAGTGATAAGCAATTAGCGAAGCTCAAACCATAGCATGGCTGATCGAGCTATCAAGCTGCTGGTGATCGGAGAGAGCGGCGTGGGCAAGTCCAGGTGCGGTCCCAAGTCCATGGAGAAATTCCACTGCGTATATTACTAAAAGCTTGCAACCCTCATCCATTTCCATTTCGCCATAGTTTGATACGTCGCTTCGTGGAGAACAAGTTTGATATGAACCATGACGTCACGATTGGCATGGACTTCAAGAGCAAGGTGATGAACGTAGATGGCATAGACTACAAGGTGGCCCTCTGGGACACAGCGGGCGCCGAGAGATTCCGCAGTCTGACACCCAGTTTCTACAGGAAAGCTCTGGGCGCCATTCTGGTGTACGACATCACCAACAGGGACAGCCTGGTCAAGCTGGAGACCTGGCTGGCCGAGCTGGACAGCTACAGCGACAACCCCAACATTGCCATCATTGTGGTGGGCAACAAGATCGACCAGGAGCGCGTGGTCGATCGCGAAGAGGGTCGCAAGTTTGCCAGAAAGCACAGGGCCCTCTTCATCGAAACCTCGGCCAAATGCGATCAGTTCGTCAGCGATGTGTTCAAAGATGTGGTGGAGAAGGTGAGTTGCCTGCCAAATACTTACCACCTAAAGCTTATAACCATCCGCATCCGCTCTGCAGATCGTCTCCTCCGAATACTTCAACAATGGCAATAGCTCCGCGGGTCTGGACATCGCCAGCGATCGGGATCTGGAGGCAAGCGCGTCCACGTGTTACTGTTGATTTCGTATGCTGTACGTGCTTTTTGTCAAATTTATTTCGTGTATTTATTTAATCGTTTCAATATCACTAGCATAAACTCAATCTTAATGTTCAATCGTGTACTCCTATCTGAGCAGGGATAATGATTCACTTTGTTTGCCAGGGACAGCTCAATCTGAGCAATATCTTTCTATTATTCCTGTATTAACTAAAGCTAATTGGTAAATACTTATTCTACGCGGGCACACACCAATATTTATTATAACACATGCTATAATAGCCCACTTTGCACACATCTGATACAATTGCAGCAAGCATTTTATCTGGCTTTTGATTCCTGCACAACTCTCATTTGATGGCATTTCGTCTTTCGGACCAGTCAAAAGTCTAGTTCTGCATTTACTTTTCATTGTTTTATTGAAATGAGGAAAGTTTTCCATTTGCGTTCAAGAACGCAACAAATAAAGAGGAGAATTGGATCAGAGACCAACTGAAATGTACATTTTTATTTCTGTACGGTTTTCTTCTTTGTTGCTTCTGGTGGTGTAAATTTATAAGTGAGTTTTAGTGGTGTATTTACAATAATCGATGATTAATTTTAGCAATTAACGCTAACAAGGTGGATTTAGAAATCGTTGAGGCTGCGCTTCTGCTTCCGCTGTTCACTATTGGCTCTCTCATCATCAATTTCTCGAAGATTCCTTGCACGCGGCAGTGGCTTAGAAAACAAAGCTGGACATTTGGCCGCAACAATTTCCGGAGCACGCCCCCTATGTACAAACTTGTAATCGCATAGGTTCCGTAAGAGTAACTTAGGTTCTATTCACGCAGTTCCCCAGCGATGCGCACGATGGGCATCCAACTATTTCCCCGCAATTCCGCTCTTCTTGGCGTCAAGTTCGTAGATGAGCAGGCGCCACATCTTTACCACAAAGACCTCGGCTTCCTCGTCGAGTACCTGAGGATTGCATCGAAACAGAGGGAGAGGGGTAGAGTTTGGATTTGTTATGGTTCAATCATTCAATCGTACAGTAATATGACTGACTTCTAGTGGCAATCACTATCGCACCAAAACTCACCATTTGTACATCATCCAAGATGCTTTGAGGCGGACTGCCGGCCAACACTTTGGAACATATAAAGTCCACTAGCGTCGGCTCCGGCTCACCGATATACTCGATGATTTTCTTATTGATCCATGGACGTATTTTGCGTTCCATTAGACCGCTGTCAATCTCGTTGCGGTCAAGCATATAATTAAATAGCTCCTCCTTTTGCGTGGGAATCCTGTCAATAATGCTTTTTATATGCCGCCGTTTTTCATCATACACCTTAGCACCATTCTCATCCTTTTTGGTGTTTGCAGCGGCAGCATCTGCGCTACTGCCAGCAGATGCAGCTGCCTCATTCTTACCATGTTTGCTGTTGCTGTTCTGTTTGTTGTTGCTGCTGCTGCTGCCGTTGTTCTTGCCACCGGATCCGTTCGAACCGGAGCCGCCAGAGCCAGAGCCGGATCCCGAACCAGAACCCGACCCCGATGAGCCGCCCGCCTGGGCGATCTTCTGGCTAACGGCAGCGGCTGCAGCTGTGGCCGCCGACACGGCCGAACTTTGGCGATCCGCCGAGCTGCTGTTGTTGTTGCTGCTGCTGCTGTTGCTATTCGCAGCTCCGCTGCCGCTGCTGGATGCATGATTGGATGGCGTGGTGTTGCCCATGTTGTCATCGTAGTCTGCGAAAGGGAACGGGGGAACAGCAAGTGGTAAGAGGATTATCCTAGAGGATAATTCATCGCATTGAAAACTCACCTAGCGGCACCAGTTTGCGCTTCTTGGGATTGATGTTCTCATCGTTGTCGTCATCGTTGACAAAAACGCCCGTCGCCTCTATCTTCTTCTTTTTGAGGTTGTTGCCCAGCGTCAGCGAGATGAGGGGCATGGTCATGGGCGGCGTGGCCGAGGGCAGCATGGCATCGTGGCCCGAGCCTTGGTCATTCAGCATGGCGCTCTGCGTGGGAGTGTGGATCTGGGCCAGTGAATCGCGCGACTCACTGTTCTGCCTGCTCAAACTGTTCGACCGCGACTTGTCATTGTTGTTATTGTTCTTGGCATAGCCACCACTGGCATTGGAGGCTGTGTCGGCCATGGAGGCGCGATCGTCATTCGATATGGAATCATCATCATTCATACCGGCCGTGTCCGGATCATAGTTGTCCAGCTGCTGGCCCTTCTGTCGCTGCTTCTGCCCCTCGCCGACTTCTCCCGCTGCCGAGGCGGCCTGCTTGCGCTGATGAACTGAAGCGGTCGCCGCTGCCGGAGGCTCTTGGTTCACATTGATCAGGATGCGTGGCTCGTAGAGCTTCTCGATCTCGCGACGCGCCTTCTCGAACTCCAGCGACGGATTCTCGTATTCGCCGCTAAAGAACTTGGACTTAAGCTCGGCCAACTCGTCGGCCTCCTTCTCGCGATCCTTGGAATCGGCATCCGCCTCACGCAATCGTTCCGCCAGTCGCTGCTGCAGTTCGCGACCGCGATAATATTGCGAATCGTCGCGCTCATCGTCGTAGTCTTCGACGAACTCCTTCAGTCGCTTGGCGTCGGTCTCGCGCTCCTCCTGGCGCAGCAGTTCCTTCAGACCGTACTAGTGGACATAAAATTAATAATTTGTGATTGCGAACATATGCAGCAGACGTTGGTTACTTACCTTCTCATTCTCCTTGGCCTTGCGCTTCTCGCGAATCTCCCAGTTGGATAGGCGCGTCTGGTAGGCGTCCTCCTTCTCGCGCGCCTTCTTCTGGGCTTTCTTGCGGTCGCGCAGCTCGTCCTCCATTTCCTTCTCACGCCGCGAGTCGCGGACTGGCTTCAGCAGCTTCTCTTCGCGCTCCCGTTCGCGTTCTCGGTCGCGCTCCCGTTCGCGCTCCCTTTCGCGTTCCCGTTCGCGTTCACGCATCTCATTGCGCTCCCGTTCGCGCATTTCGTTGCGTTCCCGCTCCCGCTCGCGCTCCCGTTCCCGCTCCCTTTCACGTTCGCGCTCGCGCTCCTTGTCGCGTAGCTCGCGCAGCTCACGCTCACGTTCCCGATCCTTGGAGCGGGATTTCGAGCGGCGGCGACGCGACTCTTTGGAGTCAGAGCGGCGCTCCTTTTGTGTTACCTCGATGGCAGCCGTCTCCTTGCGACTGCTGCCACTGCGTCCGGTGGAGGATGATGACTCCTTTGGCTCCTTAGCGGCCGCTGCTTCCTTGACCACAATGGGGATTGCTTCCTTGTCCGCTTTATCCGAACCATCAGCGCCATCGGCGGCGGATGTCGAAGAGGTGGCTGTGGCGCCGGAGGAACTGGTGGCCGCTGTCGACGAGCTGCTGGACTTGCTGGTCGACGATTTGCGCTCCTTCTCGCGCTGCTTTTTGCGCTCCTTGTCGCGTTCCTTCTCCTTGCTGGCAGCAAGCTTCTCTTTTTCCTTCTCCTTCTCCAGCTCTTTGCGGTGTTCGTCGGCCTCCGCACGCATACGGAATTTGCCTATCTCGCTGCTTATCAGGTTGCGTTTTTCTTCCTCCAGGGCATTTTCGCTCAGCACCTTGATCTTGATGTCGTCCTCGCGGCGCGTCTTCTTGTTGCGACTCGTGCTGCCGTACAAGTCGGCGCGACTGCTGCTGTCGAATCCGTCGAACTCGTGCTTGTGCTCCTCCAGGAATTCATGCATCTGGGCAATGGCGAACTCGTCCTCGGTCTTTTCGTCCACTGGGTTGGAGCGATCGCCGTTCTTGCACTCCTGCTCCTTGTAATCCTCGATGAGCACTTTGTTCTTGGCATCCACCTTGGCCACCAGCTTCTTGCCATCGATCTCCAGCTCGCTGAGCAGGCGCACAGCTCGCATCGCTGCAATAGGTCCGCTGAAAAAAGGAGGTCAAGGAAATCGGTTAGGCAGAATATCATAAATAACATTTAGAAAACCAAACTGGAGTGGCAGACCATTCGTCGTAAGCAATATTGCAAATAAGCTCAACTTTCTGATCCTTTGTTTAGAGTTAGGCCTCTTAGAAGTGCTCGAGTGGTTGGTTATTCGATCGCTCATATAGCAATTCAAGCAATTTACAGATCATAATGGCTCCCATAACAACCTTTTTATAAATAAACTAAGCTATTCTGGGAAACGCATCCTACACCTCGTGGGATGCGTTCAGCCGCTGTCTACGTTTGCAGTAGCCTTTTAAAGTAACCAGTAGCTTTTCTAGCATTATTTAACCAATCTGGAAACCTTTTTGTGCTACTCTAAGCCTATTGAACGTACTCAAATTCGCAGAAGCCGAATGTGGAGACCCGCTTCCAGTTGATGACCATGCCGCAGGCCGTCAGGATGCGTTTGAGCAGTGGCTCCGGGACGCGTTCGCTGATGTTGCCCACGAAGACGGTGATGATGGGTCCGCGGAACTGTGGCTGCGGCTCCGGGGGACGATGGTATACTGTCGGCTGTGAGCTGATGGTGGCCGAGTTGCGGAAACTCCTCGGCGGCTTGGCCATGTTCGGCATCATCTGAAGGCGAAAGAAGTTGGTGAACGAGGATTTGGCGTCAGATCCATATAGTTCAATGGTGATTGTGACCCAGAAATGGGCGACTTACGTGCGGCGGCGGTATGGCTGCATTCATAAAGGGCGGCATGGGCGCCCGCGGCGGGTACGACATCTTGTGCGCTGCGACTCCTTTGTGATGCTGTCCTTTAAAAACGCAGCTTTAGCGAGCTTGCAAAATTAAAGCCGACAATTCACACACCCACACACAGACGAGCAACACACAGACACACACACAGGCACGCACGGATGGGCGCAAACGCCACACGGAGTGGCAAATGTGAGTGTCGATGTCCTATTTCCTGCTTCCGGAGCTGGGCGCCCGCAAGGTTCACTGAACAGATCACGGGACGGCTGGCCTGCAACTTTTGTGTTCACGGCGCGTGCTAAATCCACGCGTAAATTACCGAATAGAATCTGCTTTTTCTGCGGCCGTTGTCCTAGGGATGGTAGCTGCCAGCAAGCTGCTATCGACTGATGGCGTGTAAAAATCGATGGGTGCCGTCCCGTCATCGATTGCCAGCGGAGCTGCCAACGCTATTCATGAAATCGATTTCATTACTTTTTGCTACAGCGGTAATAAAATATTTTAGTTATTGGGTAATCAAATGAACTTTTGTTCGATTCTAACTAATGGCGAATTCGAATTATATATTTGCATCACTTGCATTTTTCATGCCTATCGTTACTATCGATGTTGGCTCACCTCTAGTAACGTAACCGAAAAACAACTAAATAATACTTGTGATAATACATAACAAAACAATGCGTGTGGGCCAGTTGCTCCGCTTCCGGAGCACCACCTTGCGTAGCTCCACCGCCAGGCAGGAGTATGTGCCGCATCACAAGCCCGCCGTGGTGGACGACATCAAGCGGCTGGAGGACTTCCTCCTGTCCAAACCAAATGTTTTGGTTCTCACGGGCGCTGGCATCTCGACGGAATCGGGTGAGTTTCTTGATTTTCCTACTTTATTATGTTCTGAAAGCATTATCACAATTGTTTCAGATTGAGTTCAAAAAGTTGCCACATTATTCATTTATTTATATAATGCTAATTGCATTTAACCTGCTAACAGTGGATTGGCTTATAATTGGTTTCAAATTAATAGTATGCTTTAATGTATTATAATGGTAATGGTAATTTGGAATTCTCTAAAAAAAATTGAAATAAATTCCAGGCATTCCCGACTACCGTTCCGAGGGCGTGGGACTCTACGCCCGCTCCAATCACAAGCCCGTTCAGCACATGGAGTTCGTGAAGTCGGCGGCGGTGCGCAAGCGGTACTGGGCCAGGAACTTTGTAGGATGGCCCAAGTTTTCCGCCACACAGCCCAATGCCACGCACCACGCGCTGGCCAGATTCGAGCGGGAGGAGCGGGTCCAGGCCGTGGTCACCCAGAATGTGGACCGGCTGCACACGAAGGCGGGCAGCCGGAACGTTGTGGAGGTTCATGGCAGTGGGTATGTGGTCAAGTGCCTGTCCTGCGAATACCGGATCGATCGTCACGAGTTCCAGAGCATACTGGCGTCCCTCAATCCGGCCTTCAAAGATGCCCCCGACATGATTCGGCCCGATGGCGATGTGGAGATACCCCTGGAGTACATCGAGAACTTTCGGATACCCGAGTGCACGCAATGCGGCGGCGACTTAAAGCCGGAAATTGTCTTCTTCGGTGATTCTGTGCCACGGCCACGAGTGGATCAGATTGCCGGCATGGTGTACAATAGCGATGGCCTGCTGGTCCTCGGATCCAGTCTCCTGGTCTTCTCCGGCTACCGCGTCGTCCTGCAGACAAAGGACCTCAAGCTGCCGGTGGCCATTGTCAATATTGGCGAAACGCGCGCCGATCACCTGGCGGATATCAAGATCTCCGCCAAGTGCGGCGATGTGATACCCAAACTGTTTGACTTTCGGACCTCGAAAAGCGCCAGCTAATCCTCACAGTTGTTATATGTTTACCGCCCACTAAATTTGTAGTTATGGAGAGCTAGGCTTTCTATTTTAGCTAAAAAATAATTGTTAAAGATTAAAATTTGCAAATGGAATGTATTGACATAATGAGTGTCGTTGCAAATATTCCGGCGCCAATTTAATGTTCAAAAGGAGTTGGCAGTGCCGACGGACTTATCCTGATTTATTCCTGTGCCTTTGGCTCATTTTCGCGCAGGCTTCTCTGGAGCAAAACACAATGACACGCTTTCCGGGAAAAGGGTTCTCTCATCCCCCAAGTACACCCACGTCCATGTCCTCCAGTGGCTCTCTCAGTGTCCTGTGCGCTGAAATTCCAGCACATCCCAACAGGAAGCGGAAGCAGGAGCGCCGGGGAGAGCTGCGCACTTCCGCTCGCTCCCGTTGAATGTTTTTGTTTTTGCTCCGGGCCGCTGCTCTCTGTGCTCCACATAAATGAACCGCAATTGAGGCATCTCCCGCTCGCACACACAACACACATCGCACACACACATCACGCACACATTTACACAACCAGTGACACTTTTCACACGCTGTTCATTACCCCCTCCATTCCTGCTAGGAAAACAAACGTGTAGGCCCCGCACAATGGGTAAAATCGCATGCCTGGTAAGCAATAGTAATTTTTTTAGATATATGACAATTTTCTGTCAAAAATGGTCAAATTTGTATCCATATCTTTAAAAATAATAATCCAAAGATGGATTGTCATACCTCGTTGAGATCGTAATTAAATTTCCAATCGAATTGCATTCAAGGTTTGAGACATTAATTTTGACCCATTTTTTGCAATTTTTTTGATTCTGATTTTTTTGATTTTTCAAAAATGCAAAAAATTGGAAAAATTTGAATTTTTTTAATTCAACCATAAATTGATAGGGATCGTTAGAATTGGTAATTAGCTGTACAAAACAGTGATTCTTTTAGCAATCTGACCATTTTAAGCGAAGTTATGAAAAAAACCCCTTTTGTAAATATTGCAGTGTTTACCAAAACTCGTATTACTGATTTCCCGTTCCAAAATGGCCAGATTTTTATCTATATCTTTTAAAATAATAGTCCAAAGATGGATTGTCATACCTCGTTGAGATCGTAATTTAATTTCCAAACGAATTGCATTCAAGGTTTGAGACATTAATTTTGACCCATTTTTTGCAATTTTTTATGATTCTGATTTTTTTGATTTTTCAAAAATGCAAAAAATTGGAAAAATTTGAATTTTTTTAATTCAACCAAAAATTGATAGGGATCGTTAGAATTGGTAATTAGCTGTACAAAACAGTGATTCTTTTAGCAATCTGACCATTTTCAGCGAAGTTATGAAAAAAACCCATTTGTAAATATTGCAGTGTATCGTATCGTATTACTGATTTCCCGTTCCAAAATGGTCAGATTTGTATCCATATCTTTAAAAATAATAGTCCAAAGATGGATTGTCATACCTCGTTGAAGTCGTAATTGAATTTCCTATCACTGAAGAAACATGATTAGTGTCAAAAGTATGCTATAGGATTCGTAACCTACGCGTTACCATAAAAATGGATAAATATTCAGGAGTTTTTTTGGAAAACAGTATGTAGATACATATGCGCTATGAAAAGCGCATTTTCCACATGCATTACCCGTGGAAACTGGTGCTGGGGCCCACCTGTAAGTAGTTGCTGTACTTGCACTCCTTTCGACCGCCGCCACTTGACTTCCTACCCTACTTTAATCTGCGTCGCGGATTGCGGGATTCCGTTATGCCGTTATTCCGTTATGCTGTTATTTCGTTATTCCGTTATTCCGGGATTGGATGTGCACTCGAAACTGGAAACTTTTGCGAACAAAGGCAATTGGAATCCGGTCAAGTGCGTTGTAGTTGTAGTTGCAGGCGAAATGCCATTCGACAACCACCGTTAGCCGGCACCATTACGGGGCGCTCTCTCCACCGCTTTCTCTCTATATCTTACTCTCACGCTCTCGCTCTCGTTTGAGATGAAAACTCATTGCGATGTGGGTTCCGTTGCGAGTTGAAACTCGGTCTTCTTCATTCTAGAATTAAGTGCCGCCGCAGCAGGAGTCGCACAGCCAGTCGGCTAAGTAAATGTAAATCGAGCTCAAGTCCGTGCGTTCACCGAGCAGCCGGAACGGAACAATATACGGACGGAGTCCGAAACCGGAACACGAACCGTAACCGTTGGTGTTTTTTTTTCCTGTGTGCTAAAAGTTTTGCAGTGCCAAAAAATATGTTTGTTTTTTTGTTTGCCCAAATTTGAAGTGCGTTTATGGTTTATTGCGTTTGTGGAAGCAGTGGCTCATTTTGCTATTAACAGAAAACGGAAGATGGAAATCCCTATTCCCTTTTCTAATCCTTTTTTTACCCACCCCTTACTTCCCAGCTTCCCACTTCCTACTACGCACTTTCACACACTCACGCACTCTAATTGCGTAAATAGCCAAATGCGCAGCAAACTGCACTGCCACGCCCCTTCCAAAAACGCCCACTGCTCTGCAAAAACACAGAGAGAGAGTGAGAGCGAGTGAGTGGAAGGAGCAGGCAGAGAGAGCGGGATGCTGTGCGTATGCGTGTTTTTGACACTTCCTTGTGCATTTTAGGGATACACACAATGTGCGTGTGCTGTGAAATCAAGTGAAAGGCTAAAAACCATCAACTAACTAACTACAAAATATTGAAAAATCTAAAGAATAGAGCGAAAAACGCCAGGAAAACAAGATACGCACGCAGTTGAACGAAAGCCAACGCTAGAGGGCGCCACAGCAGGCGTGTGTGTGTGAAGGAATTTCCTGAAAGGACAATTGGAAAAGAGGAGTTGGGGAGGACAGAGAGAGAGGGAGAGAGAGCGAGCGCAAACAAAAGCGGAAGCCCCGTGTGCGAGCGAGATGGACAGCTCGCCGGATCTGTCGCTGAAATTGCGACGCGGTTCCAGCGATTCGCGGGATAACTTCTACATGGATTTCGCCCAGGGCATCGACTCCGATATCGAGGAGGTGGACAACACGGCCAACAATCAGGAGGCCGGCGAGGTTCCACCGCCGCCGCTGCCCACAGTTTCGCTGGCCGATGAGGTACTGCTCCTGGTGGCGCCACCGCCGCCGCCGCCCTGTTTACTGGGTCAGCCCCTGCCCACGCTAACGGAAACGGATGATATTCCGCCCACTCCCACACCGCCACCACAGCAGAAGGACGACGAGGGGGACGATGAGGAGGAGCGGGAGGAGCCCGATCCGGAACTGGATCAGGCAGCTCGAGCAGTCCCTTCGCCACCGGGCTCACCCATTAATTCAGTCCTGGAACTGGAGCTGATACCGCCACCGCCATTATCGCCCATGGATGATGCAGGCCTTCGCACCGATGACGATGGCGAAGGTGAGGAAACCGATGATGCAGAGGAGGTGGCGGCCATTCCGCCGCCACACGAAATGATGGACATAGAAAGCAATCCCGATGAGGAGGCGGTGGAGGAGCTGGCTTCCCAGGAGGACACCGCCAAGGAAGAAGATGAAGAGGAGGACGACGACAAGTCCACGCCACCGCCACCTCTGCCACCGCTTCCCTCAAATTTCTCCTATGTACAGGGTCACAATCTCGGTCAGGTGACCCCGCCCCTGACCAAGTCGCCATCCACCTCCCCCTCACCGCCGGTGACACCGCCACCCTGTCCGGAACTCAACATCAGCCGGATGGTATCGCCGCCTGCCCAGCACATCAGCCAGATACCACCGCTCACGCCCTCCGATGAGAGCGAGGGCGAGGCGGAGTCCCAGCCGAACTCACCGCCACCCAGACTGGAGGCGGAGCAGCCACCACCCGATATGGATCAACAGGAGCCCGAGGATCAGCCACCAGAGCCGGAAAACGAACCAGAGCCCGAACCCGAACCCGAACCTGTCAGCGGAGCTCGGGAGGACTATAGTCGTTCGCTGGACAACGAGGACGAGTCCACCACCATAACCACACCACCCAGCAACGGATACTCTGCCTCCTCCATCATAGCTCCGCCGCCCGAGCACTTTGCGGAACTGGACGAGGACAGGGTCTTCATTCCACCACCACCCTTGGAGCAGGAGCCCGAGGAGGAGGCGGAGGGGGAGGAGGAAGAGGAGGACGAGGAGCTGACCAAGGAGACGGACGAGATTTCCGTGGACAGGGAATCGCTGCAGGATCAGGGCGGCGACAGCATCAGTTCACCGCGGCCTGCCAGCATCTTGACTGGATCCATTTCCACATCCGTTGGCGGCGGCGCAGGAGGATCACCAAAGCCCGAGAGTCGCGGCCCAAGTCGCAGTGGCAGCCAGCGCTCGCAGCTGAGATCTGGATCCCAGCAGGGATCCATGGCAGGATCCCGCGGTGGCTCTCGCATTGGATCCCGCACCGGATCCGTGGCCTCCGCCCAGGCAGCAGGCGTTCTCTCGCCCCAGGCCTCGCTTAAGTCCCAGACATCCATTCGCTCGCAAGGACAGGCATGCGTCCGAAGTCCGGCCGGGTCCATCAAGTCCGGATCGCAGCGCGTGCAGAGTCCACAGGCCGGCGAGGGAGCTCCGGCGATGCCCTCGCCACCGCTGATGAGGAGTCCGCCGCCGGAGCTGGCCCGCCAGATGCACAGTCCGCCAAGGATCACGACGCCGCCGCGGGTCTGCAGTCCGCCGCTGGTCAGCAGCCCACCCAAGCTGGCCGAATCCGCTGCTGCTGCCGTGGGAGTCGCTGCCGCCGTCAAGGAGCAGATCGGGTGAGTTTTGGACCACACAAGTGGTCCACATAGCTTTATTATCTAATAACGATAATACCCAATGACAAGCCCGTTCCACCTGCTGACATGCTTTCGGAAAACTCAGTGCCCATAGATAGCGAAATCCATCTATTATGTTCTAAGCGTTAGTTCGATTATCGCATTACTCAGTGCTTTATTATCTAATTCATGAAGAGCTTAGATTTTCGCTCAAGATACGCGCAAGTTTTCGCCCAACTGGAGATGCAAATCTCATTGGGCCTCGGGCTAGAGAAACTTTTCGCTGGAGATGCCACGTATCTAACTGAACCATCACGTCTGGTTGTGGTTGCTGGAGCTCCTGGGGCACTCCATTAATTGCATAAGCGTCCACCCAATTTCATCCAACTACTTTG